TTTCTCCTTTCTTCAAACTTGCTCATTTGTTCATTCACTCAACAAGTGCTGATGAAGCACCCACACCCTGTAGGAGGACTCAGGGTGACAAGAGGTAAGCAAAGTCTTCTGGGTTCACAATACTTAGAGTCCAGTGGACAAACCTGCCAAAATCCAAAGTAAGCAGGTGAAGTGAAGATGTGGTGTATGTGACTTGCTGGACGGCTGGCCCTCTGGAGGAAAGCAGGAAGAGAGGAGTGTGTGTGGAAGTCAGCTTCTAAGAGTCATTGTGGAAGGCCTCGTCATAAAGGTGACCTTGAAGAAGGACCCAAAGCCAGCAGGCAGAGCATGTTAGAGGAATGTTTGAGGCAGAGGAGAGAGCAGGTGCAGAGGCTGTTGTGTGCATGACTGGACCTCAGGACAGTCAGGGGCTGGTGGGCTTACAGAAGAGTACATAGGCCGAGCAATGGCAGTGGATGGGTGAGCTGGATGCACTCCAAGTAGAGGGGGAGGCGTTTGCTCTGGGTGAACAGGTGTTGCTGGAGCACACACAGGGCCCTGAAGTTACACTAAAAATAAACTGTGTGCGTGTATATGCAGGTTCATGTATGCACAGGTTCATGTGTGTGCAAGTGCATGTGTAGAAGCAAGAAGTCAACTTCTGGGTGTCATTCTTCAGGATGCTGTTCATCTTATTTTCTTGAAACAGAGTCAGTCGCTCATTAACTTAGAACTCACCCATTCCACAAAGCTGGCTGTCCAGCAAGCCCTAGGGATCTATCTATTTCCATCTCCCCAGAGCTGAGATTACAAGCATGTGCCAGCTTTTTCTATGGGTGCTGGGGATCAAACTCAGGTCCTCATGTTTGCAAAACAAGCACTTTACTGAGTCATTTCATTAACCCCTGAGTAACATTTTAATAGGCCCACTTTGGCATCTGTATCAAGGATACGCAGCCGGAAGGTGGACACAGGCAGAGAGCACAGGTACCAGAAGAATCTATAGCTTTGTCCGGAGCAGCTGTGCAGCCCCAGATGGTAAGCAGAGATGGCGTGCAGCCCAAAGCACAGGCCACCAGGATGGTCGGACAGACTTAGATAGCAGGGCTGGACAAGTACCTTGAGACTTCAGCATTTGTGTCTTGAATAAAGACCAACAAAGGACTTCTACTGGGCCACCAGACAAAGTGAAGTGGCCTGGGTGAAAGTGGCTGATACAGTTCAGCAAGGCTCACAACAGCAAACAGTTCAGCAGAAACTGTGTGAAACCAGGTAGTTGGAACATTGCCTGCTGCAGCTGGAGTTTTGCTCTGGCAGCGAGTAGCTGTAGTGACTGTGAGGCAGAGCAGCTTCTTTGAGGTATCTGTGGATTGTTTACAGCAGCCAGGTGCAGGGAGCACAGTCCAGCTGAGCTTCCAGAAGGACTGCTTGGCTCACCATCCTGTTTAGTGCAGCCAGGTACCAGGGAAAGGTCTAAAAATGTCAGTTAGGGAAATCAGTCACCCTGGCCCCTGTCTTTCAAAAGGAAAAGTTATAAAGGCCTATGAAGTAGTATTTAACAGGGCTTTACTTAGTCAAGTACTCCTGAGGAGAGTTGGGCTGCCTTATCTGCCTCAGTGACTTCAGAGAGGAAGCCACAGACACTTACCACCCATCTTCCTTTTCACCTTGCCCTAGCCACCTCCCCAGATGGCTCTCCATGGTCCCAGTGTTTGTCCCCTGACCCTTCAGTCACCTCTAATGAGAACTGGACAAGAGGGATGACATCTCTCTACATAGGTTCCAAATGTTGTAACTTTTGGCCACAGTGCCCTCTTTTTTCTGGCTGTTGGCAGGTGCTTGTTTGAATGGAGGCCTAAAGGCAGCAAGTGGTCAATACCCATGAAAACTGACCTTCGGCCTATAAGGCACTAAATACTGAAGGGAAAAAAAGAGCAGGTGTGCTTGGAAGCAGCTCTTTCCTTCCTGAAACTCCCAGGTAACACCTCACCACAGACTTGGACAGCACCTGTTGTAGCCTCAGGGATCTTGTACCACTTGTACCCCTCCTGAATTCAAGGCCTACAGAGTCATTGTTCCTGTGATATAAATGTGTGCTGCTGAAAGCCATAACATTTAGGAATAAGTCAAAAAAACATGCAGTCTCTCCATCCTGAGTTGGATTCTTTCATAAGGCCAAGGGTATATGGGGACCTCTAAGGTTAAAATACACTTACTGAAAAAGACAAAAAGAAGCCATGGCTGTTTTTCCATCTTAGCTAATGTTATATATTAATATGTTGATCCACTGGGTCAAAATTCATCAGAATAGTGGTGGTGGAGGATCCATTTTCTACCTGAAGTACAGTTTTTCATGTAATAAAGATTCAATGTTTTTGAAAAGTATGTTCATAAACTTGACAATTCTATGTTTTGTTTAATTAATTTATTATTTATTTTATTTATTTATTTATTTTTGTCTTTTTGAGACAGGGTCTCCTTGTAGCTCCAACTGGTCTGGAACTCACTATGTAGACCAGGAGCCTGCCTCTGCCTCCTGAGTGCTGGGATTAAAGGTGGGCACCACCATGCCCAACTTCTATGTTTTGTTTTATTTTAAATTTGCAATGTCTTATTCTAAAAACACTTCTTTAGAAGAAAAAAGGCATTATTCATAAAAAGGGAGATAAAATGTCTAAATTCATTTGCATATATATATATTCACAATGTTTCTAAGCTATGTTCTCACTTATATAACCTGGACTTGTTTCTATGTCGATATAGCAGTATTTTTTTTTCTTTGATTTAGTTATTTATTTTTATGGGGCTTTTTGCTATTCTAACATTCCCCCCTCTGAAGAGGTAACCCTAAAATCTTTTAAGGATTAGATACAAGCTCCCAAATGCTTTCAACATTTTTGGCCTTTGGAACAGAGTATGTTGCTAAGAGGCCCAAGGACATTTTGACTTTTAGCCAAGAAACTGGCTACTTTTCTTTGGGGTCTTTTTACCCTAACTGCGTAGCCAGTTCCTACCTCCTATTCTTATCACACCATCCTCTGAAGAGGTTACCCAAATTGCCAATAGGGAATAGGGATGCAGACCAAACTATAGCAGTATTTTAATATTATTCCAGGATATGTTTTTGCCATAACAGTCTATGTTACACATTTGATGGTAATTAACCAATCCTCTCTCAGTTATAAAAGTATGAATTTCATCAAAACACAAAAGACATTTGGCTAAGAGTAAAATCAGGGTGCAACACATTTTCTAGAGTGTTGTCTGCTCCAGAAAGACGTGGGTGACTAAAATTCCTAGAGCATACACCCTAGGCCTTGAGCAGCAGAAACCTCTGTGAGCAGAGATACTTACAGCCTGTATGCCCCAACTCTAGACACCACTGTCACAGGAAAATCAAGGGCAACCCTATGCCATCTTCAAATTAATCACCAGGTGGTATTCTCTTCTTTACTTTTAAAATAATGCTCATGAACAACCCATTATCAATTCATTACAGCAGTTCCTCTGAGGCTTAGCATTCATTGGAGTAAGGTAGACAGCCTGGTAGTGTGTGTGTGTGTGTGTGTGTGTGTGTGTGTGTGTGTGCATTTCCTGACTGCGTTCCCAGAAGTTACACTATGGAGGAGGGAGCTGAAGAAGGCAGCAAATTGGCACATTTCTGATGAACACTGGGGTTTAGGAATTGCTCCATCAAATCTGGAAGGTAGAGATCCTTGTCCACAATGGGTTTTTGTTTTTTTTTTTCTTCTAAGTTTGTTTTGATGCTTGGAGATCTGAGTTATGACGAGGCAAAAATTCAATATGAATCTGTGTCCTCCATCTTTGCCTACAGTTGCCTTAATTATATATATGTATATATAATCTATCATCTATCTGTCTATCATCTATCAATTATCTATCATCTATCAATCTGTCTATCATCTATCTATCTATCATCTATCTGTCTATCTATCATCTATCTATCTACCTATTTATCTATCTATCATCTATCATCTATCTAACCAACACAGGAAGGAGGCTCGGATGCTGCAACCCCTCCTGGGAACGATCCCAGTGTAGCTGTTTATGTCACCTGTTTCTTATTCTGGGGATGAGTACTGAAGGGACAGCAGGACTTGCTAGACTGAGCTCTCAACGGGAGGCATGATCTCCATCACTGCACAGAAAGTGGTCAATCAATCACCCGCAGATTGGATAGGTATTTCAACATTTGTGCTTTCTAGTGGAAACGTAGGGATCTGTCGAACAAAACAAGAGCAGCGTTCGGTAGAGTGGGAACCTGCCAAGCCTTCCTCGTCTCGCCTTCTGTCCCTTTCGGATTCACCAGCCTCCAGGCCTGTCTGAAAGGGTGTCGCTAGGGGTGACGTTTCCACGTCCTTTCACACCCAGTTCCTTCTGTTCCACCCGCGACAACCTGAGAAGCCTCCTGCTACAGGGTTCCTGGAAACAAGAGCTTTGTTAATGGTTGCCCAGGAAGGGGCATTTGAGGATCTGCTCACACATCCTTCCTTCCTGATTTCAGAATAGAGGTGAAACCCGGGGACCCAGGACCTTGAACAGAAGTCTTGGGGCGCGCCACAGTTCGGAGCGCCACGCCTGGAAGAATCCTGCTGTAAGCTAGGCTCCGCGCGCCCCGACTGCCGCACCGACCGCCCCGCTCCCCCAACCGCCGTCGCCAACAGCCTCGGTGCTCGCGTGAAGTCCGCGGTCTGCAAGGGCTCCACGCCCACCTGCGGAGCTCTCCCCACCGCTGCGCTCCCACGCACTTGCAGTCCCCTACCCAGCGAAGCTTTCTCCATCCCCCACCTGCGATGGCACCCAGTCCTCCACTCCACCTCCCAGGGACCGCTGCACAGCATCCCAGGCGGCGGGAGGCGCCTCCCTGTCCTCCACGCCCATCCTGGGGCGCGCCGGGGTCCTGGGCCCGACCCGACCCGCCCTTGCGCTGAGCCCCGCCCACCACCACCACCCATTGGTGCTAGGGCCTGGCGGGGGCGGCTCCAGCTGGGTGAGGGAGGGGCAGTGGTTCAGAGGCTGGCGCTCGTGGGCCGGGTCCTCACTGCCTGCTGCACACCAGAGCGATCTGGTATTCCTCGGCCTCTTCGCCATGAATGATGACTCCTCGTCCTCCAGGGGCTCCTTGCCGAAGTACTTGGAGCATCTCTCAGGGGATGGCAAAGCCATCGGCGTCCTGACCAGCGGCGGGGATGCCCAAGGTGCGCGCCTGCCGGGTCTACTCCTGATTCCCTGGCCAGGGTGGGAGGGGAGGGAGGCAGAGGAGGGCTGCAGAAGAGGGTACCCGGTGGGGAGACGGGGAGAAACACTGCGAGAGGTGGGTCCGGGAGAGGGGAGGAAAGGTACCGAGGAGACGCGGTGGGGCAAAGGATGGATGAGAGCCCAGGCGAACCGGTGGGCCAGGGGCGGGAAGCTCTGCCTGACTGGGAACGTCAAAGGACCTGAGGAGCAATCCCGGAGGGCGCAGCCCCTTTGCCGGCTTGCGGTGCAGAGGGTGGAGGGATGTGACGATAGGATCCTTCATCCGGAAGATCAGTTTTCAATCTCCAGGTCTATTACTTGAACGAGGCAATGGAGGCGGCTAGTGTCTGAGTCATAGGATGGAGACAGGGGTCCTTTCTTAATCTTGGGTACCTCGAAAGCAGCAGCAACCGCCCCAGCTCTGAATTCCCGCTCCACCCCATCGCTCGACGAGTCGTAGGGAAAACCGAGGGGTCCCCGCTCGCTTCCTATCCACGCGCACCTCCCACGCGGCGCAGATGGCGTCCCCGCTGCTGCACTGCGGGACGCGCGGCCCGGAGTGGGGGAAGGCGCGCAGGGGCCCCTCTCGGTGTGGTTTTGGGTGTCCCGCTGGGGAGATTCTCTAGGTTTTCTCCTGCAGTCTTCCGGCTCCAGGCCCTCCCCGGCAGCCTCCCCAGGACAGGAAAGACCAGGAAGCTGGGACCTGGGACGTCACTGAGCCCTGAGCTCCGGCCCGGCTTCCCTTTCTCACCCAGTGGGGAGAGCCTGGGCTCAAGGCGGAAGGGACCGGATTCCGGAACCCTCGGATGTGATACATTAAGAGAATATTTAAAATTTGTGTGGGGGGCGGGGAGGGAGAGGGAGTGAGAGATTGAAAGACACTAACAGACATTGTATCACGCCTCCGACTCGCCATGGGTTCACTGGGGACACGTGGGGAGCTGGGGTTCCCAGATAGTGGGGTTTCCTGGTCCGCTTTAAATCCAAGATGAGAACACCATGCCTAGAAATTAGTTCCGCGCTTCCCAGGCGGATGTGCCCTGGGATCGGACTCGTTTTGTAGATGTGTTCCCTGAGCTGGGTTTTGCTTTTGGTTTTCCTTCCTTCCCTAAGCCCTAGTTGAGTGCTAAGGCCCCGATGCCCCGCAGTGTCTTGTCACGTTGTAAGTCAGCCTGGAAGGGGAGGTTTAGGGTTGGCGCCCAGAGCCCTCGCCCTCTGTCCCCCACCAGCCGGTGACCTTCCCTTCGTCCTTGAGCGGGGCGGGGCTCGCGCGGGGGCGGCAGGGTGGGGGGCTGGGGGAGGGGCCCGCCCCCCCGCGGGGGCCCACGGGTGGGGGGGCCCGGCGTTCCCCGGGGCGGCGGGGGGGGCCCCCCCCCCCCCGCCCCCCCCCCGCCCCCCCCCCGGGCTGCCCTCCGTCGTGTCGGGGGGGGGGGGGGGGCGCGGGGGGGGGGGGGGGGGGGGGGGGCGGGGCCCCCCCCCCGCCCGCCGTGGGCGCCTACGTGATGCGGGGCCCGTAGTCTCCGGTGTGCGCTGGAGTCCCTCACTCCCGCGCGCACAGTTGCAGCATCCGCGGGGATCAGCATCAGGTGCAGGACCGTGGAAGCTGCAGCCGAGCCTGAGGGGTTTCCCAGTGCCCCTCCTCCCACTCTCTTAAAGGCGCCAAGGGCAGTACAGGTCATCGTAGGCGCTCCGCCTGGCCTGCCTTCCTCCTCCGAAAGCAGGATTGTACCAATATTCTACTAAGGAGAGCCTAGCTGTAAACATTCCTCACCGAGGGCCGGTCTTTCAGAGACAAAATGTGATACAGCGCAGGGTGGGGTTGGAAAATGGAAGTGAGATAAGAGATAACATCACTGACTTACTCAAATAAATGTATGAAGATGTCCATCTCTCGGGACTGCCCGGAGGTCTTGCCCTGGGACCCCCCCCCCACCCGCATTGGCTTCCCATCAAACTGGAAGGGCAAAAGCACGTGCATCCCACCACTGAGGCCTGCTAGGGTAGAATGCCCAGCACTTTGAATCCTACTGGGGCAGAGTAGAAACTGCAACGACAGGAAGAGGAACTGGTCTCTGTAAGGCACCAGTGCTTCAAGGTCAGACCATGAAGGCTATTTTAGAATTAACACGCTGATTCTATTGGAAGAACAATATTGATGGATCATCCTTTTGAAATCCCTGTCTAGGCACTAAAATACTCGTGGCATGTTTAGCAGAAACACTTATTTTCCCTTCTCCTTCTCACGTTATGGGTCTGCCACAGGTGAGGAGTGGGGGATGGGAGCTTTAGTCTGGATGCTCTCTCCTCAGTTGAAAAGGATAACTTAGACCCAAATTGCATGAGAATGTTAAGTGTTTCTTGGTTTGTATAAGCACCAGGTTCATGGGAGATGGCTCTTAGCCTAACAGGTGGCATCCAGGATTGCTTGGCCCCTGAGTTGCCCCTGGGGAAGCCAAACAGCCAGCCGTGTGTGTGTGTGTGTGTGTGTGTGTGTGTGTGTGTGTGTGTTGGTGTTGTGTCTGGTTTTTCTTGGAATGTGTGTGAACAGTCATGTCTTGTGATACTATCTTTGGACCTGTTTGAGGGAGCTCCTGAATTTCTTTTTGAGAAATCTTCCTTTGAGACCCGCTAGGAGGACCTGAATTCTCAGTAACCGTTTTCCAAACCCCTAGATGATTCCTTGGATGGTGTTTATCCTACCCTCATCTTTTCACGTTTTTACTTTGACTTCATCAATACCCGATTTTCCCTGAAAGAGAATTTTGCTCACAGCTAGAGGTCAAGGGGAACCCATTCATGTCTTAAAATAGCAGAATTATGGTAAAATCTATGCTGAAACGACCTCTGCACTTTTTATGTGCTAGGATCTTTAAAGTTCTTAACTCTGTGCCTAAATACATGACTCCGAGGTACTGATGTCTTCATTTTGGAGATGGAGAGAGACCCATGAAGAGGTAACTTTTTGAGGCCATGAGGCTTATACCTGGTTGCAGCAAGATTTAAACCCATGCCTCAGGAAGTCTCATCTACACTCTCCACAGACCATGTTTTCATGGGGTGACAAGACTGTGCTCAAAAGTGAGTGGTGCGCAGCTTGCTCCGGAGTACAGAGGCTCTTTGCAGCTTTGGTAGGGGACAGAAGAATGCCTTTTTTTGCAGCAGTAGCAACAGTAAGGTGAGTCAAACTGTGTAACAGTTTGCTACATACAAAAGAGCAATACACTGTGGGGTGTGGTGATCCACACCTCTAACTCCAGCACCTGGAAGGCAGATGCAGGCTGATGTCAGTGAGGAGGCCAGCCTAGTGAGTTCCAGACCGCCTGGGGCTACAGGACACCCTGTCTTAAAA